CCCTTTAGTCTTCTAGCATGATGTACCAATTCTTATTGATACAGTGTGACTAGTCAATTCATGCCGTGTGCCATAGGTTCGCCATCATGGCCGTATATCATTCCATACAAGTGGCTGTCCAGTCTCTTCCTGAAAATCTCCGGTGATGGAGGACTCACAACATCCAGAGATAAGCCATTCTAGTGATTGTTCTTACTGTCAGGAAATTTCTCCTCAGTTCTAGGTTGGATCTCTCAATAATAATAATAATAATAATAATAATAATAATAATAATAATAACAACAACAACAACAACAACAACAATAATAATAATAATAATAATAATAATAATAATAATAATAATAATTTTATTTCTATACCACCCTTCTCCCGAAGGACTCAGGGCGGTGTACAGCCTATTTAAAAACACAAGACAAACATAAATTTAAAATTTAAAATTATTAAATAAATTTGGCTCCATTTAAAACCCCAGAAATTTAAAATACCCCAATTTAAAATTATCATGTCGATAGCCCGGTCTGGCGGAACAACAGGGTCTTCAGTGCACAACGAAATACCCGGAGGTCGGGGATCTTACGTATTTCTGGGGGCAGTTCATTCCACAGGGCTGGGGCTCCCACAGAGAAGGCTCTCCCCCTGGGTGTCGCCAGCTGACATAACTTGGCTGATGGCACCCTGAGGAGACCCTCTCTGTGGGAGTGAACTGGCCGGTGGGAGGCTATTGGTGGCAGAAGTCGGTCTCGAAGGTACCCGGGTCCTATGCCATGGAGCGCTTTAAAGGTGGTAACCAGCACCTTGAATCGCACCCAGAAGACCACTGGGAGCCAGTGCAGCTCGTGCAGGAGGGGTGTCATATGGGCACAACGAGTTGCGCCCATAACCACCCGCGCAGCCGCATTCTGGACCAGTTGGAGCCTCCGAGTGCTCTTCAAGGGGAGCCCCATGTAGAGAGCATTACAATAGTCCAGCCGGGAGGTGACAAGGGCGTGAGTGACCGTGCGCAAGGCATCCCAGTCCAGAAAGGGCTGCAATTGGCGAATCAGGCGAACCTGATAAAAGGCCCCCCTGGCCACGGCCATCATATGCTCTTCTAAAGACAGCCGTGCATCCAGGAGGACACCCAGATTGCGAGCCCTCTCTGTGGGGGGCAAAGATTCACCCCCAATAATCAGTGATGGCACCTGCTGACTATATCGGGACGCCGGAAGCCCCAGCCACTCAGTCTTGGAGGGGTTGAGTCTGAGCCTGTTCCTCCCCATCCAGACCCGCACGGCCTCCAGGCAGCGAGACATCACATTAAGGGCATCGTTGGGGTGGTCTGGGGTGGAGATGTACAGCTGAGTATCATCAGCGTACAGATGACACCTCACCCCAAAACCACAGATGATCTCACCCAGCAGCTTCACATAAATGTTGAACAGAAGGGGTGAGACGACCGACCCTTGGGGCACTCCCTATGCGAGGTGCCTCGAGGTCAACCTCTTCCCCCCTGCCAACACAAACTGCAAGCGGTCAGAGAGGAAGGAGGAGAACCACCGCAAAATGGTGCCCCCTATTCCTAACCCCCTCAACCGCTGCAGCATGATACCATGGTCGATGGTATCAAAAGACGCTGAGAAATCTAATAAGACTAGGACAGAGGAGCAACCCTTGTCCCGAACCCTCCAGAGATCATCCACCAACGCGACCAATGCCGTTTCTGTGCTGTACCCCTGCCTGAAGCTCGACTGGCACGGGTCCATATAGATAGCTTCATCCAGGTGTCGGGGAAGCTGTCGTGCCACCACGCTCTCAACAACCTTCGCCACAAAACAAAGGTTGGAGACCGGACGGTAGTTGGCTAATTCAGCCGGGTCCAGGGAAAGCTTCTTGAGGAGGGGCCTCACCACCGCCTCTTTCAAGGTGGCAGGAAAGGCACCCTCACTCAAAGAAGCAGTTATAATCCCCTGGAGCCAGCCTCGTGTAACCTCCCGGGAGGCCAGTACCAACCAGGAGGGACACGGGTCCAATAAACACATGGCGGCACTAATCTTACCCAGAACCCTGTCCACATCCTTGGGAGCCACAGGATCAAACTCCTCCCAGATAATATTCTCAAGACCTACCCTCGTCTCCTCCCCTGGACTCATCCAATCGGAGTCCAAGCCATCCTGAATCCATTAAGAAATCCATTATTTCTTGTCCTCCTCTCAGATGCTTTGGAGCATATTCCTATTCTAACTTTGTCCATCTTATGTTTTGATAGTGGTAGTAAATTAGAATTTACCAGTTTTGCACGATGAAAACAATCTCATTCAGGAAAGACCAACTTCATAACTCTATGCATGAAGAAAATAAATGTTAATGTGCCATACAAGAATGTGAAGAATTCATCCTATTAAACTAAGAGGTGCTTACTTTTATGTGAGCATGCATAGAACTGGATTCTAAATCAAACAAATTTTACAGGTGTTTTTTAAGTTGCCTTATGTTTGATGGTAGAATTCATTTTAGAAGTAGTTTCATTGTACATGGTTACTATTTAAATTTATTGTTAAGAAAGTCTTATATACATGAAAGAAAATTAATTAAAATATCATAGAAATTCCACAAACTGTATAATTCTTATTCTATTTTTTTATTCATCCTATTCCCATATTTGATTTCAAAGCCGCATTTAAATTGTATTGCAAAATGAATATAGAGTCAGCTTTAAATAAATGGTAAAATATACAGTGTTTTAAGATGCTTATTATCTAAATTCAAGTGAATATTTATACTTCTTTTTATTCAAGAAGTACATTTCATATTCTATTTCAGAGTTCAGCTTGATATTGGGTCTTCTCTGTTAGTGAATGATGTTGATAGCATCTATTATTTTCCTTCACTTTCCATTTCCTCTTCTTAAAGTGTGTTTCTGTAAAACTACCAAAGCAAGATTTTTTGGCATTTTAATAATAGAGCTCATTCTGTAAAGCAGATCAGCTTCTGGAGTCCAATATGAAAGAAATATACAGGACTGAGAATGAACAAAATAGGTTGCTAAGAAATGCTTGCAGTGAGGCATAACTTTTAATTCTTAGTCACTCTTCAGTATACCAAGTTGGAAAACAGTTATCTCATCTATAATGCCTTCAATATTGCTCCAAGATATGGTAGAAAAATAAAATGGTAGCTTCCCATGTCAGTGATACAGCATCAATAAACTGTTTTTTTTATTATAAGCCAAAGGAATAATTCTACTTGCTCCCTCTCCTTTTTCTATAGCTTCTTTAATGTTATTAATATAATTTATTACATGGCTTTTTCAATGTGCAATAGAAATCAGAAAAACACACAGCAATTATAAACATCCATCCAATAAAATGAATTCATAGCTTAATGGCTAAACTACTAAACATTAGCAATTAAAACAAACCAAACATAACATTCATGCATATTTATAACACTCTGCAATATGATCATGTATGACATATTATTTTAATTTAATTATACTGTAATTCAATTGAAATCATAATGAAAACAAACAGATTCTATGAACTGCCAGGATTAATGACTGTAGGTAGGATAACCAGATCCTACATTAAGTCTCTAATCAAATGAAAAGATATTTAAATCTTTTTGAAAGGTCATCAAACTTTTTCAGAAATCAAAATGAAAGGAAGGAACTGATTCCAGACTCTGGATCATGGAAATTAGAGGCTGTGACTGTAGACCCTGCTCAGACAGTGTTCAGAGGAAGGTAAGGAGCAAACCAGACAAATAAACATAGATTGTTGAGGCGGGACTGGCCACAAGCACCAATAATCTAAAACTTTGTAATAAGGCAAGATAAAATAGCTGCTGATTTCTTCAAGACTTAAAAGAGAGCTAATTTTGGATTATGGAGTCTAAATAAAATTAGAAGTAGAATCTAAAGCCACTATATTCAAGAAATATATGCTCTGAAATCTACTTTGTTTTGCTTGTGCAAATTATCAGTATGAATACCTGTAATTTCCGGTAACCTGCAATTACTGCAAGTTCAAATCTCACCAGGCTCAAGGTTGACTCAGCCTTCCATCCTTTCGAGGTAGGTAAAATGAGGACACAGTTTGTGGGGGCAATAAGCTGACTTTGTATAAAAAAGAACACCGCTTGGGAGGGGACGAAAGCCCTACTAAGCAGGTATATTCAAAAGTATGAAGGCTATTGCTTAATGCTTTTTAAGCCGCCCTGAGTCTCTGGAAAAAGGTGGCATATAAATCGAACCAATAAATAAATAAATAAATAAATAAATAACCAATGAGTCAGAAAAACAAATAAACATTTTTGCCCAAGATTATTCATGTTGTTTAACAGTATAGTTTTGCCATTATTCCTGAGAGTTCTGAAATTCAGTTTCATCTTACGTCTTCACTTTATCTTCATTTTCACTTTAGTAGGAAAAAATCCATTAATCAGGAATCAAATGGAGGAAAAGACAGGCTTGAAAATGTAATACTGAATATTTGTTCAATTGATTATGGATGACTAAACAAAGTATTTTTTAACAAATGCCAATGGTGATTTAAGTTGACTTTGTGAAGATGTTCTATTATGTGCCAAGACTGATTTTAATAATGCATCAAAGGTTGCTTAAATGAATGCTATTATTTCTACAGGAAAATTCTATTTTAAAAAATTATGCTACTGGAATTCATTGTTTTGGTAATTAGACAACTTTAATGGTGCCCAAATAATTTTGGAGAAGCAGGTTATAGTGCTCAAAGGGAAATTAAACAAGGCTCCCTGCTGAAGCAATTTACTTTTCACCAAATCCAAAAGGGGGAAATGTTTAAGAACTTATTATTGGTATAGCTCAGATTCATATTCCAAGCCCTAAACTGTATCATTAATCTTTGCACAAAGTGGTGTTTACATTTTTACAGTTTGACTTTGATATTATTTCATTAAATGGAAAATCAGATAGCAGAGGGACTACTACTTCGGGTAAGAAAGTAATTTTCATTTTTAAAGATTTCATTCCTTTCATATTAACTCACGAAATTGCTGCTTATTTTTTATTTGTAATCAGTTTGTTGCTTTATTTGTTCATTTATTTTTCACATTTTTTAATCTGCCCATCTCCTCATTTTCTTGCTTAAATGGCTTGAAAATCTGGAATAGAAACAGAATTTATTCATTCGATGAAGATGATGAGCCCTGAGCAAGATGTCCATCAATCTCACTGATACAATCTAACAGACTTTGTTGGAGATGCAGCTCTTTGCCCCTTTATCCAAATGACCATTAGTGGAAGAGAAGAAATGAAAACAAGCAAGGTACTTACATAACTGCCTTTTCATGATAAGAAGTCTGATTATCTGAGATCTCCCTTTCTATCTGCTTTTTATAGGATCAAGAGCTTACCTGACTTTCTCTCAGAACATATAACTTGTTCCTTAATTTTACCTGTACTTTAGAACTTTAAGCATCTGCTTCTAGATATTTTTAATGAGCTTGGTTATTCTTCTAGGTATATACTCTCTGCCAAAAACTGAATCCTCAAACTAGGTGATTCTAATGAAGGTTACCTCAAACTATTTTGTACAAATGTAATTACCAAAAGGTTGGAAGTTAGGCAGTTTGTAGCAGAAGAGGAATTACTGTGGGGACTGGCAGAGGTATCTTTAATTATCTGATGATATGAAATGGGATATGAAGGGTGAGACAGTCTCATTACTTGTATTCATTTTATTTATTTATTAAAATTATATGGCCTCTTTCCTTTCCTTTAGAATGGTTGTGGATGGTGTTTGCAAAGGCTTGGCCTGACAGTGTTTTTTTCCAACATGCATTTCTAGGAGCGATGAGGAAGGATGGAGAAAAATAAAGGAATTTTAAAATCTAAATCCCAATATTTTAAATCTGAGATGTTCTTTAGTAAGATCATTGTGGGAACCATTACAGTAACTCAGGCAAATATTGTTAATAGATCATTAATAACTATCAAGCCAATGAATAAAATAAAATTGTAATAGAGATAGTCATAAAAACAGTATTATTGTTACATTGGTACCTTTGGAACCCATAGCAGGGACATATTTAGACTGTTATGGGAAAATACTGTTATATATTTTAAGCATAATGGCCATTTATGGACATTGTAACTTTTTAAAAAGTTCTTTTGTTATCTCCATACCAGAGATACCTGTGGGTAATATTTTCCTCCACTGCTTCTTCTTCGTTGTGGGGAGCCTTCTCAACTTCCTTTGAGTCTTCCAAATAAGCTTAATCCTCTTTCCTTTGTGCAGAGTTTCTTTCTTGAACATATCATTATTTGATAAGATATTTAATAAAGTAAACTGACTATATAAAAGAAATTATGTGGATTGGGGGAAGAGTGGAAAACTCAGCCTGCCATTCTCATCAGTGGCTAGACACATCCACCTCAATGATCTTATAAATCTACTTGCCCTCCCCATGTTACTTCTGTAAAGCAAAATGAATCACTGTATTGTTTCATAGAAACTGAACTCCTACAATTTAGATAGACAGAAGGCAGAAGAGATTGAAAAGAAATTTCAAAGGCAATTACTACAGAATAGCTGCTATATTTTACAAAAATGCCTTTACATTACAGAATACTTCATGTTCATTAGAGTTCTTATTACTTCTTATTGTCACAAGACAAAAATAGCTTCACTAAGTATGTCCTATATTTTGTATTACATTCTAAACTCAATATAAGAGTTTCTTCTATTATAACATTCTTACGTCCAATACTAGTAATGCTTGGGTAAAAAAAATGCTACCTGAGATTCAGAGATTCGCCCATGTCAGGTATACAATACAGGTAGTTCTTAGGTTATGATGGCAGTTGGGATTGGAATTTCCATCACTAAGTGATGCTGACATAAAATGCAACATGTGATAGCATTGCTTAGTTCCACAGATAGATTGCTTCACTTTTCTATAGATCTTAATATCAGGAAGTTTTTTCATATATTTAAAATAAATCTAAGTAGCTGCAACACATATTTTTTATGGCCCTGGTTTCTAACCATCTTTCTTATGGCATTCTTTTATATATCTTTACATTGATCACATGTTTTTCTCCAGTCCTCTTTTTTCCACCTATACATCATAAGTTCCTTTAGCATATATTTATCCAGGTATGAACTATGTATAAACTTTGTCAACTTCTTCCAAAGCTATCAATATTCTTCTGGACATGTACAGAATTGTACACAGTAGTCACACCAGCACTGAGTTGTAAAGGATTAGGACCTCATACATCTTGAGTGACAATGTTTCTTCTAACACAGTGCAGAACTGTCTTAGCCTTTTTTTATCAATAGGCTCAAATTGCTGGCTGTATTGCTCAATTTATTGTCAGTGAAGACACTAAACCATTTCACTGATGCAGTGCTTCCAAACCATGAACATTTTGTTTTCTACCTCTGCTGTATTTGTTTTCTTCCTAACTGTAATATCTTTTTATAGTTCCCTACTCAAAACATCTTGTTTCTGTCAGCCTAGTGTGTCAATCTTTTTTTTGTCATCCTAGTTTTGTGTCAATCACAAATTGATTGATTGAATAATATTAGCTAGAAAACAGATTATTGATCTTGATCTCAAGAACACTAATTATTTTCCTATCTGTAGAATTATCAATATCAACCTGAAAAGCTAAGGAGGCACGCATAAGTACTCGCATATAGGTTTCCCTCTAAATAAATAATCAGAAATTGGTAGCTTTTCCCATTTAAATAAAGGCTAATACATTTCTGTGACTTTCCATTCCCTGGGTAGCATTAAATTGCCTGCTCATAATTCAATGGGATTTAGTCAAGAAAGAAGGAAGGAGGGAGGGAGGGAGGGAAGGAAGGAAGGAAGGAAGGAAGGAAGGAAGGAAGGAAGGAAGGAAGGAAGAACTTTGAACTAGTTTATTATCAATGAAACTGTTAAAACTACATCAGATTGCTATATTAATATTGGACAATTATTTCTCTGATTTTATAAACTGTGTACACTTTGCACAATTGTTGCATGCCAAAATAAATAAATAAGGTTGATCTATTTGGAAGAAACTATTATTTTCCTTATAACTATCAAATATTGTTGTATTAATCCATAGGCTTTTGATTTGAATGCTGTTCTCTGATATTTTGGAATGGCAATGATCCATATATTATGTTCTTTCAATTCAAACCAACACAACACAAAGGTTATATTGTCACATTTTGGATGGAATTATAATTGCTTCCTGCATACTCATAGAACTACAATGTGCCCTTTGTTTTGCCAGGAAATCTTATAGTCAGAAAATATTCTTATCCAGCAGTAAAGAAAACACTTCCAATTTTTTTGTGTAACAATTAACTGCAATTTTGCTTTTTAAAAAAATCAAGAGAAAACATCCAAACTCTGTGGAAGAAAATGAAAGAAGAAATTGCTTCAAGAGTCCTAGAAAATCCATTTAGTATCCTTCAGAGTAAAGCATAACCATAGCAGCTCTGGCTCTTTCTTATGAGCAAAGATTACATACATAAAGATAGAGCAGGGAGAGAAAGCTTAATCCAATCATGAGAACACTTTCCTTAAAGAATGGCAGAAATATAAATTTAATGGGGCGGGAAGATTGTTCACCCAAGTAAAAGGTGTCTCCCACATGCAATAAAGGTAGATTTAAGATTCTTTAGTATGCTACTGAACTGCCTGCTGCCTTTACTTAGTAATGAGGTTCCTGAGGCATTACCATACATAATGTATCAATGATCTGTGCTCATCCTTCCATTTACTAGAAGGTATTTGAAAAGTTCATCAAAAGCTGTCTCATGGCAACTTAGTGGGCAGACTTTTGAAAATGGGAATTGCTGAGTTGCTCTTTTGAACTGTGAATGGGCCTGTAATTCTGGTGGGTTTGGTCTGGGAAATCCTCACTGACTGGATTTTCTTTTCTTTAACAGATACAGTATATAGTATAATGGCATAATAGATAACATGGCTTAATTTTTATTCTTATTTAAAAATTTTAAAAAGTCTGGGTCATTGGCTTAATATGCTGCATGTCTGCTTGGCAGTCATAACCTATAAAGAATCAGGTCTATTTAATCAGGCTGAATTTTTTGCCCTGTGTTCAAAATGCAGCTGTTAGGCTTTTGTGACATCAATATGTAAATCTGGTATCTATATAATATAGTTATCCTGCATCTTCAAAATAATTCTGCTTCTAACATTGAATGATAAGAGGAAGAAAGAGAAGGTAAGATTAAAAAATAAAATGGCAAAGACAGAGATAATAGGATAAGGTGATGATTATGACTATACTAGTGGTCTCTAAGTTATAAATATGCTACAGTTTATACTAGAATACAAAACTAATGAAATAGCAGCTTTATAATACTAAGGTAACATAAGTGAGTAATCAAGGATGCACAAACACACACATATATGACAATTAGCAATGGTTAGCAGCTCAGTATATTTTGTGGCCTAATTTGCTTTTCTAAGAATATAAATTTGTTCATTTTTGATAAATTTTGCTTCAATGAAGCATTTTTCATAAGTGCAAAATTTTGTTTTTGTTTTTGTTTTGTTTTTTGTTGGATTGAGTTCTTCTTCTGTATGGCTATGTTATCAATCTTACAAAATATTTTCTTTCTTTTACTTCTCTATGCTGTTTACATCTTTTTATTCCTTTACCCAATTGACCGTGTCTTCTTCTTTTTCCCATTCAATGTCCTTTTGATGTTTTTCTTTTTTAATCCAAAACTGCTATATATCCAATCACACACAGAGTGATAGAGACACAGGCACATGTACAGATACACACACAGAATTCAGATGAATGAAATAAAATTTGTTATTTCATTTCAGATGCAATATTATTTTTCTCAATTTTTACTAGCAGTCATTCCCATTTGTTTGCCTTAATTCTGCTTCCATTATTTTTCATTTAAAGCAATTATAGATAACAAGCAGTGTTTTGTGGGAACCAATCAGAATGCCTGCAAAAGCTGTCTCCAAATTCTTTTGTTTAAAATAAACAGGAGGAGTTTAAGAAGAGAGCTTTTATCCATAATGAAGAGTACACAAAGGAAAAACGTTCAGATTTGGTGCTATCAGACTCACATTTCTATTCTGAACACTCTGAAGTCCTATTTATTCATTTGGATATACTTCCTAGTCAGCATGTTTAGTATTAAAACCCTATCTCAATGGCAGCACCTGTCCTGTGGGACAGCATTCCCTCAGAAAACCAAGTGGTCCCAACCAACAAAATAAATTGGCTCTTCATTCAGTATGGAGACTGCAAGCAGCTTCCAATTATCCTCATAGTCCTAGTAATGTTTTTCACATGCTGTTTCAGTTTGTTGAAACACCTCTTTTGAATGCTTTTCACAACCCTAATATTTTGTTTATTTGCAAATAAGCAGAATGTAATTGGATACATTTAGTCTATAGAGGAATAGCATGACTGCTACTTCCATGTCTTATTCCAAATGACTAGTCAGTTTGAAGTATATTCCAATTCTGATAACTCAAGGTAATCTCTTCTCTTTTTCTATTCATTCAAAATGTTATTTCAAGATTAATCTAAGACCTGTTGATGCCTGAGGTAGAACAGCAAATGATATTGCTTCTAGTCAACATACATAATAGTCAGGATTGATAGAGTTATTTTGGCACTTTAGACTTAAACGATTTCACGCATCTGAAATAACTGCCTCATTCTCCCTAACCCCAGGTTGGCTTTCTCTTTAACACTCTCATACCTGCAGACTGTAAAAATCTCATTTCTTCAAGTGATGATTTAGAATCCAGTTCTAAAGAAACACAAACTTTATTAATTTCCGCACTATGTATTCACATTTATCATGACAGTCACACTATTCTTCTATGGGCAGAGAAGGTGAGAGTTCAGTACTGGAATTATGATACTACTGAAGTACAAGCTGTTATAGCAATTCATATTTAATGTACACATTTATTGCGAGAGTAAACAAACCTATTAAAGTTACAAGTTTTTTCCTCTTCTAAAAGCTTTGATGTTGAGTTTGTTTAAACTCCAACATATTATTTAATTTAATTTATATAGTTAAATAATTCAATTCCAGAGAACTCAAGCCCTTAAGATAAACATAGTTATGTTGAAAGATATGGTAGAACACATAGAAAAATCTAGACTATGCTGCCATTTTAAAGAAGATGAATGTTTCTATATATTTCTTTCAATTGATATTTGATTCATATGCAAATATGATATGTGTTAATGATACAAATTGTATTTGTATGTGATAAGCAATCCAGCTTGTTCCATAATATTAAATGATACTACAGTAATAGAAAGTTTATTAAAGTTTATAAAAAGGTTTGCTACCAACCATATTGTGAAGGATGCGGATGATACAACAGTAGTGGGCCTTATTCAGGATGCTAATGAGAATGCTTACTGGGAAGAGGTAGAGGGTTTGGTGAACAATTACATTTAATATATATTAAATGAGATTAAGAAACAGTATGGCAGCAGGCACTGATTTTCCTAATATTTCTTAATGCTTTATAAGAAATTACACAGAACGGACTACCTCATAAGTACACGTAGCACTGATATAGAATGTACATCTGCACATGCTTCCTGTTAAAACATCTGTTCTCTCAGTTGGCAGTCACATGGAATTTAGTTAAATAGCTTTGCTCCTCAGCAGAAAGCCATAAATGGAAGCATAGATAAGCTCCCTAGCTATATCAGTGTCAGCTATAAACCCTGATCTAACAGCAATAAGACATATTGTACAAAATAAAATATGCATGGAGATTTAATATTAAAAGATCCACTTAATTGGAATTGTCATGGATTATTAATAGAATA